GCAGCACAGTTCTAGTGTAAATGTCATAGGTTGTCTTAGTAGAATTGTCAATCCAACCAAAAATTGGAAACTTGAGTCTCAGTGGTGAGCGTAGTGGAACAACCTCAATATCACAGATTGATTGACTTGTTCCGAATTATAAAGAGCCTGATACGAATAAAATGTTTTGCCTTACAAATATGAGTGGATTGAAGTCATCGCTCTCACCATTGATGCATGCTGGTCAGTATTTCCACCCCCTCCTTTTGTGATGTTAAGCTTATTTTCGAATAAATATTATACCCCACACGATACTTTGTGTTTCACATACTGTTGAAAGGCACAATTTCTATAAGTAAGATTTTGTAAGCTTATCAAGCAGTTACAAATTATGGACTATGGGTCAGGTATTGATGCAATGCTTTAATTAATTATGGCATAAATTATGGGTTGCCCATCAAAATATAGGTATTAACAAGGGCACAATGCAGGATAGATCTGTTACCGAAGTAGACGGAAAAGTTTAGGAATATGTCAGATGTAGGTAAGACAACGAGTAATGAAATAAAATTGATGACAAATGAGTGTGCAGGAGAGTAAAAAGCTGATGAAGAACAGACAAGAAGGAACTCATATTAACTTGGTGCTGATCTTATTTTGTGCTATCCTAGCCAGTTGATGGGTTACGAGCTCTACAGATGAAAGACCAGTGGAGTGGGTGGGTCATTGTACGGATCTTGAGAACTCTTAAGAGTAGTGGTAAGCGTCGATGAGCGACCAATTTTATTTGATTTACCTGTCTACTTCAGGCAAAAAATTAAGGAGAGCCAACCTCCAGTTGTCTGCACTGTCGAGTTTATTTAGGATTGTTTACATATTACTTCGTACAACGCAAATGTGAGTTTTACAGATGACTTTTAAGTCATCAACGTAAAAGGTATGTCTTACCTATGTTAAAGCACCCGCATATGTTTTTGATGTAGACTGTAAAAAGCACTGAACCCAAGACACCACCCTGCACAATACCCCTGTATATTGGTCGAGGTGTAGATGTTGTAGATTTAATCTCGGTTATTTGTTCTTGATCCATCGCAATAGTGGGTTTGTAATTCCAAATGACTGAGGTCTGTCGATTAGGAAGTTATGAGGTACCTTATAAAAAGCTTTCTTAATATATCCCTGTTTTATAAGCTCTTTATGTACTTACTGGACAACATCAGAACAACTTTCTGAGTGTATGTTATCTCCAGCCATAGTCAAACATACAATCGACCTATACTTTCAAACGATACTCAAAAATTACCCAGAAATGTACAAAACGCGACCGGAGCTTTCAGCTGTAAACAACAACGTTGCACACCACATTACGTCTAGAGGTCCGATAGATTGCAGCCCAGATGCGATCAAGGATGAATTTTATCATCGGTTAACTGTTCTTTCCCAGAAGGTGCGTTCGACAGCTATTGTATTACTAGCCGGAGACTTGAATGCTCAGGTCGGGCGTCTAGTCAGATTAGAGGGTCGTTTAAGCGGCCGATGCGGGCTTGTTGGTCGCGGGACAGATAACGGGGACCGTCTACTGCAACTGTGCACAGACCACAACCTGCTTCTGGCTAGCGCTAACATCGCTTATGTGCCACGTGACGTCCTCCCTCTGCGTCGCAAACCTGGACTCAGATTGATCACATCGCGATCAGCTACCGCAGACGTGGTTGTGTACAAGACGGAAACTCCATTTAGAGTACCTATCTGAACTCTTATCTTGCCCATGTTCGCGCAAATCTTCATTTACTTTTCAGTGACCGACAAATTCGTCTTCATAAGCGACACACTTACAAGTACTGGGTTTCTTCTGAATCCTCACAACTCATCGAATCCTGTCTTTTTACTTCGAGTGACCGTGAGTTTGACCACAAAAGACAACTGTCACTTAATGACATTGGACAAACATTTTGTAAGGACCGAGAAGCCTGATGGTCAGAGGGTGTTGATGAGTTGAAAACAGCAGTTGCACATGGTAGCTGCTAGGAGCTCTTTGAAGTCACCGGGGCACTCGCAAAACGTCTGGTGTGAGCGAAACAATCTGCGAGGATGACGGGATGCCAATCACCAACATTCATCGACGTCTTGGACGATGTGCAGAATTCTTCGAAGGGCAGTTCAACTGGCCTGCTGCTCCGGCAACATCGATCAGACTGTCCTGCCCTCCATGGCCGGTGACGAATGATCCACCGAATGAGGCGGAAGTCCGCAAGGAACTCCAACTCTTGAAGCACTACAAGTCACCGAAACTAGATGACTTACCTTCTGCTCCTTTTAAAGATGGTGGTGACTTTCTGGTCAAGGAAATGACCACGTTGTTTACAAAGGTCTGGGAGTTTTCCAACGTCATGGAATGAGTCGATAGTTGTCCCTATCTTTAAAACGGGTTCACGTTGTTCCTGTAATAACTATCGGGGGATAAGTCTACTTTCTATTGCGTCCAAGCTATTGGCTTCCGTCATACTTCGTAGGTTGTTCAAAACCCGAGAAAAATTGACTCACGAGGAGCGGGCTGGGCTTCGTTCTGGTCGAGGATGTATTGATTATATCTCCACCCTCCGCCAAATGTTGGAACACCGTCATACTTATCACAAGCCAACAATCGTAGTGTTTCTTGACATCAGGGCTGCCTTCGATTCGTTAGACAGGACTGTTCTCTGCGGTTGTCTATTGAAGAAGAGTGTGCCTTAGAAGTTCATTAACATCCTAAAGGCCCTATATACAAACACCTTAGGTAGAGTGAGGGCATACAACCACCTTCCTCCATTGTCCCATTCGAGCAGTGGGGTTAGGCAGGGTTGCCCAATCTGACCATTCCTCTTCAACTTTGCCATCGATGACATTCTGAAAACAGCTCTGACGGATGTAAGTAATGGTGGTGTGGATCTATTGCCTGGAGAAAGACTTCTCGACCTTGAGTATGCGGATGGTATTGTGTCACTGTGCGATAATGTCCAAGCCATGCAATCCACACTTAATCAGTTGACAATCAGTGCCAGTAAGTATGGTATGTTGTTTGCACCTTCGAAGTGCAAAGTACTTCTACAAGACTGGCAGGACCCTGAACCTGCACTCACCCTGGTTAGTGAGCGGATAGAAGTAGTCGAGAAGTTCACGTATCTGAATAACTGGGTAAGTGCTAGCGCAGGCGTATAGTGAAAGCCAGAGCGGCCTATACCAATCTGGGCCATCTTTGGCGTCTTCGTGATGTAAACGTCGGATCTACAACGCGTCGGTGAGAGCGGTTTTGTTCTATGCTTGTGAAACCTGGCCTCGCCGAGTTGAGGATGTTAGACGACTCTCTGTGTTTGATCATCGTTGTCTCCGAAGGATTGCTGAAATCCAGTTGCATACCATGTTAGTAATGCAGAGGTTCGGCATCGTGTGTTCGAGCACAGTGTCAACCATCCATTTGGTGTCACTTCGGTGGCTTGGACATGTTCTACGAATGTCGTCCCAGAGAATTCCACGTCGTGCATCATTCGCCGACGGTGGGACTGGTTGGAAAACGCGGATAGGTGGCCAGTGTATGACATGGTGTCGTGGTATGAAGGGAAGTATACAGGATTGGCCCCTGTTAGTCCTTCACGACTCTTTGGTTGGGGTCCTAGAGATGGTGCAACACAGCGGCTAGAGACTTTATTAAATATGGTTCAGAATAGAAGCCAGTGGCGATCCTGCTGCAGTTTTTTTCTTTCTTTACGTTGGTGAACGTAACTTCTTTGATTGGAAGCATTCTCTGTGGTTGCATCTTAACCGAAATGTTTCTCCCATTATAATAATAATTTCATTCTTACACACTAGTTTCCGTTCGTTGTTCTTCTTCTACTATATGCGCTCTACATTCTCTATCGCTTCACAACCTCACTGTTATTTTTTGGCGAGTATGTATTTGGTGCCCCCCTTGTACGAATGTTTATGTTTTAATAATAATAAAACTACTAATCTAGTCAGCACATATGGAATTGTCAATCTCAAGCGGTTTTATTCGTGGCTATCCACTTTCGATATTTTTATTTTACTTCGTCATAAACAACCTTTTAGCGATAATGCTCTTATCGTCTGACTTTTTGGGAGTTGATCTACAAAGAGATTTATTTGTTGACTTGGGATACTGAGATGGCATAGTTCCGTTTCATAAAGATACTGAAAAATTCCGAGGTCTCCTGACCTTAAGCAGCAATCCAAGTATATTTCGGATGTGTTTTTCTGTTCAAATCCAAAATGTTGCTTTAGGACTGGTCTACACCAGCGCCTGCATTATTTATGGAAAGTGAAGTAGTTAAACATATCGATCGCTTCAATTGTCTTGGGAGTCATATCAGTCCTAATGGCTTGGTGTATGATGAAATCTCGTTATGTATTTATAGGGCTCGATTGGTTTTTGTCAACTGGCGTCACTTGTGGCGTAGGTGGGATCTTTGTCTACCAGCCAAAGGACGAGTTTATTACTCAGCAGTTCACTCTGTCCCACTTTGTTTGTGTGAAACTTAACCATTATGGATAGAGGATATCCGTATGTTACTGGCATTTGGTCATAGGTATCTTTGAAAGATTTTGGTACCGCCAAGTAGACAATCCCGAGGTTGCGGATAAAGATGGCAAGTTGATTAATAAAGTAGTGAATCTTCATCCACCAAGTTGGTAAAGACATGTATTTCTTATGCCAAACCGTCACATGCATTTTCCATATAACTATAAATACGGATGTAAAGCTTAAGTAACTGATTTCGTCGAAACAAAAACTTTATTCGTTGAACTCTCTTCTTCATATTCAGCGACACAATGGGTTATTTTATTTATCTGTTACATGTCCAGTGGTTCAATTGCCAACATATACAGCTCATCTGTCAATCGAATGAGGACATCTAATTAAGCTGTTTTCAGAATTTGTTATAAGACGATTGAAAAAATGAAACGGTGTTCATTACTCATCTCCAAAAGTCTCAACATGATGGTTGAATAGCTTTCAGCGAGCCATTACAAATAAGCGCGGGGTTCAAAATCCGTCAGAATTGGTCAAATGTGTCTGGACTTAAGTAATGTATATTCGAAGACGGAATTATGAACACGGAAGAATAAAAAGAAACAATCGCAGAAACAAATCGAACGAATCGCTTCATTTTATGTAAGTTTTCAAAGTCTTAAAGCTGGTAGACTCGGATGCAAACATTAGTTCCAAATTATTAAGTACTGGTTAGAAGAGTCCAGAAAGTTGCATGATCTGTTCTAGAAACTAAAGGGATTCAAGTTCGACCAATTCGAGGGATCTGGAAGAAAACATGTAATCCGTTTTTCTATTCTGTACCACTAGCTTCAGAGTACTCCTCTGAAGTTGTGTCAGATCTGAACTTGTTCAAGTTGTAGATGATTTTAATGAGTACCGATAATTTAGTGAATCCCTAAATCCACTACCTTCTAAGAGACAAATATCTGATGCGTTTGTTCTGGGCTTCGAATCGTTCGTTAGTCCTTTTTCTAATTCAAGGGGGGAGGCGATGTACGTAATAAATCAGATAAAAAACTCTCATGATTAAGCCAATCGAAGTGAATCCTGGAGTTCTAATGTTATTAATGGCTGGGAAGAGCCTCCGTCAAAGTCGATATATGGTCAGGTGTCATTAACTAAAATACTTGTATTGCTTATTGTAGAAGCTTGTAGCTGAAATTCATTCACTGTCGTATAGTTTGCCGTGAGTGAGGTACGTTATTACCCTTTAGAGCTAAAAGCTAATCAACGGATATATTCGTCTGGCAATCGTTTACCAGTTCTCAGTGTGTTTATAGCTTCAGCTGTGTGTTACCTATATGGATTAAGCAATTTTTACGTCTTGTGGCGTGGACTACTCAATGAGGTCTCTCATTTCATGGACTTTCAATCAAAACTCAGCAGTCGAACACGTTCATCAAAGCTCATTATGTAATAGAGAAGAATGCTTTTTTTGAGTATAGCCGTTACTCATGTGAACACCAATCGCGAGTAACTGTTGTAGGAATAACTGCTGCTTTAAAGTTGTGAAAAACAGGTTATTTAGTTTCTGTCTAGAAATTCCAGTACATTCTCCTGTAAGATTTCCAAATATACCTCTGAAGATAAATATCGTATTCCCGCTTCGAATAATTATAAACTTACCATGCTGTTTGGGTATTTCTGGCGTGTCCATCGACTCTAGCACTTGTCTTTGTTGCTGTTCTTAGTTGGGTTGGATAGCTAACCATTATCTTCATCCTTTATCAAAGTCGGTCATAAAGTATACTTGTTTAACAAGTTATAATGAATGTCATGTTAAGTACGGAATGGAAACCATAATATCCGAAAGAGTTATTATTTATGAAACACAAGTTTACTCGATAATTAATACAAAGTTGATATGTCATGATTCAAATGTGTGGTGTTTCTGTCTTTCGTTGATTGATTATCGTTAAACAGGTTCCGTGAATGGTCTTACTAGGTACTAAGACAGTTCCATGCATTATGCATATGGTGTCATGATGGAAATCACTTCTGGTATATCGCATTTAAGATCAATGCTGCTTGTAAACTGTTTGCTTCAAGAATACCAACACCTTAACTCCTAAACCGCAGTTCTAAGAACAACTATGTTGCTTTTGATATCGTGAATTCAGACGTTACTGAATATTTTCCATTTGAATATACAAAACATTTAATTTAGTGAAAATGCGTACCTAATTAGCAGAAGTCTTCGAGTTTGGGTTTTGTTACTCTTATAGTTTTAAGGAAACCGCTTACTGTTTTTCTGCTCATGAATAGAGCGTATTGTATTACTGCTGGGCTGAATATTTTTTTGTTTCTTTAAATCAGAATCCATAACTTAAATCGTAGTGCTGTGTAGTAAGAGTACTGTAATAGTAAACGTGATTCCCGAAATTTTAGATTTGGAACCTATTTTAAACTTCTGTTGGCTTGGGCAAGCATAATAATGCTGGACTTTTTTACGGATCTTCGTTTTGAATTTATTTGGTCTTGTTGGCTAATGGTACGAACAGTTAATGATTCATTCAGATATCAGGGTCTGGTAAGCATTCTAATTTGGTCCGAGTCATTTATTAATTTACAATATTTTTCAACCCAACTGTGTAAATTTATTTCAAGAGCTGTTCATGCACTAGTCAAGTACTAGAAACTAATTTTCGTAACGTGGAAACACTGGTATGCCGTATTTTAATTGTCGAGTTTGACGTCAATCAAAAGCCATATATTTAGGGTTTATATTTCTCAGTCTCTTATGTAGAGTACATATAGAACTTCGAGGCAATTTATTTAAGGATCTCTTCTCTAAAACGTTCAAGATTCGTCTTGTAAATAGTAACTGTCATTTGCGTAACGAATAAATCCCATTATTGTACATTGTATGGATTGGTTTGCAAATTCAGGGGGATGACTAAGTTTCCCTGCACCAATTTTTGTATAGAGATTATAGGCTGCATTCTTAAATATCTCGTAAACTAATTACTTCAGGAAAACAAGTACAAACCAATTTTGTGTTCATAAATCCTGTTGTTTGTTAGCTTCGCATCATTTTGCCAACTCATAGATAATCACTAACAATTATCACTGCAATGTTACTATTGCTCCCTTTTATCGTTTTTCTCCCACCGATCACAGATTTACGTCCTTTTTCGTTCGGTGAACAAACCTTTGGATAATAAACAAGTCACCTACAAATGTGACGGTCTAATCCAATCCCTATATTTTCAGTAACATGTGCAGGTTCATACTATACTATGTACATCCCCGAAATGGAGCCGTAGTTTTCGAGTAATTTAGTTTTTCTCACTAATCTTTGTCTGTGTTTCCCCGATATGAGACCAAATTGACTATATGATCTGTTTATCGAATCAACTTTCATAGGTACCCTCGTTTTAAAAATAGGGAAATTTAAGATGTGTTGATCCAAGCATTTGTGAGGAGTTTCAACTGGTTCCACTAACCACCGGCAAAACACTCCCTACTTCTGTATGATTGCTAATGTGATCTTGAAGTGGATGGCGAGTATTTATATACCGTTTCCAACAAAACTATTTTTCTTAAGCAAGATTTTTTAAAAGTTATCTGTATCAAGGCAAAGAATGTGGCTACTTGAATTAAATCTATTCAGGGAGTTGTGGGATTCATCACATTACTTGTCATTTTAAGATATAATTACATGAAGTTTGCAGAGCTATTCGCTTCTGTTAGTTCAATTAGTAGGCACACATGATTTACAATCACTAACTACAGGGTACTTTATGTATGTATTTATTTATCCAAACATAAACATTAGTACGAGGAGGCACCAAATACGTATGCGCCACACCAGTCATTCGATACGCGTGAGGGCTGGAATACTACCAGGGTGCCCAAACCGAAGCAGGTGGTTTTCTTGGGGGGTCATCACCCAATCCTTTGACCTACAGATCTAATCCTTAAGGCAATGGAGCAACGTAAGGAGATGCAGTCCCATAGTAGCTGGCGACAAAATATGGGTTCGTACGCCATTTTCCCTCAGGATACTGGAGCCCATGTGCTCCACTGGTTTGGAATCAGGTTTTCCAACATCCATAGGTGGACCCTCTGTGTACACCATCCCGGTTAAAGCGCTGGAAATTCGCTTTTCATCCTCTCAGTTTGTAGACAACACCCCTGTCGCGAGAAGGCGATGAGCAGGACTTTCTTGATAGTGGCTGTGTATGCGTAGTCATGTGAGAGCATTTCGAGAGGGAGAGCTGACTCTCTCCACCCTCGACTGTTCCACGTCGTTGGGGGGTACTTTATGTAGGCTTCGTGAAGGCCACTCTAAACTAGATCTTAAGAAAAACTATAGTTTGTTATGTTTTGAAATAAAAAGTTACTGATCGTTTTGATATTTTCATCAAAACAATGACTTCTGATTTGCTTTATAGGCAGATACACAAGAGATGATAGCCTACTTGATCATTATGCCATATACCGAGCTTCAAGTGGATATTTTAAAATACCACTTTTTCAATAAACTTTTATGGTGTATATTTATAGTATAGTGCATATTTTTCAGAAGCTGACAGGAACTAATCAACATGAGGTCTCCAGCTAAGGTACATATTTCGTAAATCATGGGACCCTCAAATGTTCATTTGATAAATTTTGTTCAGATTATGATGAGTAAGCTTCAGAAAATTGACTAGTGGAGTGTAAGTTCCAAGTTAACAAGGGTTTTTAGTACTCGCTAAACACAGCTAAAAATCGAAAAATGTAATAGAAACTGGCTGCATTACTAATAATGGTAATTTCTTGAAGACTTCGTTCTTAATTTAGGTTTTTATAATCAAAAATCATCATTTTTATACATTCTAGGCATTTGCTCTGTTCTTTACATTCACTGCAATCATGGCTGATTTGCTTTGTTACTTCCTTGTACCTACTACATTGATCTACCTGCTTGGTAGTTCATGTGTATGGATACATCTGTTATGGCAAACAGGTGAGTCTTTTTGTATTTCTGTCTAATCAGTCAGTCAGTCAGTAACAACGTAGAACTTCGTACGTACGTACATCAGTTCGAGTTGCCACACCACATTAGCACAGAGATGCAGTGGTCGATTCAAATCCCGTAGTGGTAGAGGTAGTAAGATTATAAGCTGCAATCAGAAAAATTAGGGTTTGAAGATGTTATTCAATGAGTATAATCCAGTGAAATAAGTTTGGAAAGAGAAAACAGGAAGGGACATGAAGAAATCAGAAGATTAGAATTTGGGAAAACACAAAGAGTGAATGCACTTGCGCCATTGCAAACGGTTTTGAGCCATATCATTCAAGGTCTCTAACCATCGGTTGCTTTCATCTCGCGGTCCCCAACCAGGTAGTCTACACATACCAAAATGGCTCAGTCCACTTGTCAGTGACTTCATGGACTTGTGCCATGTATTGGTTTGGCCGCCCCTACCTTTCTTCCAACCTACTCCTATACCATTGAACATAGCACGTCGAGGCAGTCGGTCGTTGGGCATACGTAACACGTGTCCCAGCCATCTCAACTGATGGAGTTTCACTACTTCATCAATTGATTTGCCATCCTTACCTAGTACTCGTTTCCTAACAACTGTGTTACTTACTCGATGGTCCCATGATATACGAGCAATGTTTCGAAGACACCTAAGGTCGAATACTAGTAACCTACGAATATCCTCTACTCTTACCGGCCATGTTTCACTGCCATAAAGTAGGACGGAACGAACTGCTGCGCAGTGAACCCGTCCTTTGGTTGATAGACGGATATCTCGCCTACGCCATAAATGACGCAAGTTGGTAAAAGCTAGTCGAGCCTTCTGTATCCGTGCTGAGATTTCGTCACACACTAAACCACAAGGGCTGATGAGACTTCCAAGATAAGTGAAGCGGTCGACACACTCAACTACTTCACTCCCTATCACTAGTTCGGGTGTCGATGTAACCCAATCCTGAAGCAACATTTTGCATTTCGAGGGAGAGAATCGCATCCCGAACATGCTTGCATTGTTGTTTAGAGTGGTCAGAAGACTCTGCATTTTGTCAGCGTCTTCACCAAATAAAACTATGTCATCAGCATATTCTAAGTCAACAAGTGAACCTCCCGGTAGGAGTTCAACCCCTGGAAATCTAGACGAGGAAAGTGTTATCTCTAAAAGTACGTCAATGACAAAGTTGAACAAGAATGGGGAGAGTGGACAGCCCTGACGAACACCATTTGAGGTAATCAATTCTGATGACAGTTCGCCATAAGCTCTCACTCTACCAGTTGTGTTCGAGTAGAGAGCCTTTATAATAATAATAAAAAATAATAAATCCATATATTAAGTACTTGATAGTTCTCAAAGTTAAGTTTTACCCAGAAATGCAACCGACTATTGCACACTTCAAATCTTTCAATACTTATTTCTACTAAATTCTTGGTAGTTTTTCATTTCAGTTTACAACATTTGTAAAAATTGTTGAGTATTTCGATTCTACTTTCTACATGGGTGTGTTCTTTGATATTCACTTTTCCCTTTTAACCTCTATTTCCCTTGCAGTTTGTTACCACACATTTTACGTTGTTTATTTCTTTGAGGAGGGGGGGCTTTTAACATTAGATGACATAACTCAGTGTTGGTCATAGTATTTCTCAACACTTCGTACACTATGATATTTTACCCCAATTTAACCTGTTCTTTGTTTACATCGTTATGTGTTCCAAGAGGTTAATTAGTTCCTTTCATTTTGTTTTTGAGTTTAAGAAACACTCCGAGAACACAATATTTTTGTGTCAAAATAACCTTTATTGTCATCTGTTGACCTTTCAAAGTACTCTAGGGCTTGACCCCAAAAGTAAGTCAAACACTAATCCCTAGAAAGGTCATAGTTATCATATAATTCTGGTCGCAATTCATGTTCAAATACTAGTCTGTGGAATTGCAGCAGTATATGGTCCTGGGTTTTTGTTTGAAGCATACTCTCAAATTATTAGTGTTGATACCTCTTTTGAAGAACACCGTACTTTTTGATTCAAATTTGGATTATGACTTTTCCTTTTGTAATACCGTTGACTTTATCTTCTCCCCGTAACGATTTTTACAAAGTATTTTTTCAAAAGAAAATCAAATATTATTGTCGTGATCTTGTCTCGCCTAGAGGAGCATTCGAGCTATCAATCATTTATATATGGACCAGAAAATGTGAAGTGCGGTTTGAGGGCTAGTGGTAATGGGGTGACGGGATGTCTAGAAATAGTGTTTTCTATGCATCACCTACTTATACACCCATTTGCTTGTTTTTTACATAGATGGCTGCTGTTATCAGTAAATTCTACTGCTTTTTAAAAAATTCCTCTGCTTGGTGTCCTATTAATTTCATTATTAAGCACGGTGATTCATTTTGTTTACTTTCGTCACCTTAGCCGTAAAGTATTCTGTATATGTGCATAATAGTTGCGTTTATTAATGTAAGGTTTCAACAATTACGGAGCTAACACAAAAATTACCCACTGAAAGGTCGTGTGTGACTGGTCTCAAGCATTTGTCCTATAGGCACTGCGGTCACGCCCACAGGTCTCTAAGACCAACTCTATCCTTAATTCCTTTTCAAGTACTGCTAGAAGAACCCTTCCAGGGTGTGGGCAACCGGGAAGTGGTAACTGCCCTCATACCCCTAAGAACACTCAAGATCACTGTATTCATAACCAATCTCCATCTTCAATTCTTATTATTCCTCCTATCTCGACTATCAACTCTGAACTTCTTACTCAAGTATCACCATGGCCAACGATCCTAGTGCACAAAATATTGTCCCAGGCCTACTGAAACCTCGGTCCAAACTAACCATTGGAGCCTTCGACGTATGTACCCTATGTCAAATCAGCCAGCAGGCCTTCTCGACTAAGATCCTAGAATTTCGTACAATTAGTGTATGCGGTGTCTCCGAAATGCATACAGGATCTTAATGTGGTCATAATACTCGTAGAACGTGACTTTAATGCCCAAGTAGGTAGCTTAAAGCAAACAGAAAAACATTTAGGTTGACATTTTGGTACTTCGGTTCAGCCAACAGATAATGTTGTCCGTCTGCTGCAACTGTGCCCTGATGATCGTTTATTTCCAACAAGCACTAACTTTAAGCATAAGGACTGAAATAGACCATATTGCCACCAGTCGTCCTTGGAGAGTCTCAGTAGGAGACTGCTGCTCGTTCTGGAATACATTTTTAGACCATGATCATGCGCTAATAAGATCAAACATTTGCTTGCACCCCACTGGACGTAGAAAAGTCGCTATCAAGACTTACTTACGTCTGTTACTCCCCATTGAGCATAGGTCGCTGACCAGCATTCTCCAACTCACTCTCTCCTGGGCCTTCCGTCCCCGTCCTATCCAATTTTTGTTCATTTTTCTCACGTCTGTCTCCATTTCCCGGCGTAATGTGTTCTTTAGTCTTCCTCTCCTCTTTTAGCCTTGAGGATTTCATGGGAGGGCTTGCCTTGTGACGCAGTTGGGTGCTTTCCTCAATGTGTGTCCTATCCACTTCCAGCGCTTCTTCCTGCTTTCTTACTCCACTGGGATCTGGTTTGTTCTCTCCCATAGTAGGTTGTTGCTGATAGTGTCTGGCCAACGGATCCGAAGTATTTTGCGTAGACAACTGTTAATAAACACCTGTATTTTCTGGATGATGGCTTTCGTAGTTCTCCAGGTTTCTGCCCCATACAGTAGAACTTTCTTGACATTTGTACTGAAAATCCTGACCTTGGTGTTGGTTGACAGTTGCTTTGAGTTCCAGATGTTCCTCAGTTGTAAATATGCTGTTCTCTCTTTGCCAATCCGCGCCTTCACATCTGCATCAAATCCACCCTGTTCATCAATGATGCTGCCCAAATATGTAAAGGTTTGTACATCTTCCAAATCTTCTCCGTCAATTTTGATTGGATTGGTGCATGCTGTGTTGTATGGGAGAATCCTGCTTTTCCTTTTGTGTATATTGAGACCTACTGCTGCTGAAGCTGCTGCCACACTGTTCGTCTTCTCCTGCATCTGTTGTTGCGTTTGGGATAGAAGGGCCAGATCATCTGCGAAGTCTAGATCGTCCAACTACATCCTAGATGTCCATTGTATCCCGTGTTTCCCTTCAGATGTTGACGTCTTCATGATCCAGTCGATCACCAGGAGCAAGAGAAAGGGTGAGAGTAAACAACCTTGCCTAACACCGGTCTTCACTTCGAACGACTTTGTCAACTGTCCTCTATGCACGATTTTGCAGTTTAATCCATCATAGGAATCCTGTATGATATTGACTATCTTCTGAGACACGCCGTAGTATCGAAGAAGCTTCCATAGTGTTGCCCTGCCAACGCTATCAAATATTTTCTCGTAGTCAATGAAGTTAATGAATTCAATTCAATTGATTGTCCCACAATGGTCCGTAGAGTTGCGATTTGGTCTGTACATGATCTATCCTTATGGAATCTTGCCTGTTGGTCACGAAGTTGGGCGTCTACGCAGTCCTTCATTCTGTTTAGCAATACCCTTTTGAAGACTTTTCCTGGTATTGAGAGAAGAGTGATGCCCCTGTAGTTATCACACTTGCTGAGCTCGCCTTTCTTTGGTATTAGGTTTCCTTCATTCCAGTCTGTTGGTACTTGTTATTCATCCCGAATCTTGACGAAGCGAATGTGGAGTATCTTTGCAGTTAACTGTTACATCTGGTTTCAGTGCCTCTGCCGGAATGTTGTCTCGTCCAACATTGATTAGGAGGTCCGTGGGTGCTGCTTCGATGTTGGGTGGGTTCAGTAGGGCTGATCGATTCAAGAGTTCTTTGAAGTGTTCTACCCACCTATTTCGTTGTTCTTCAATGTTGGTGATTACCTTGCCTTCCTTACTTTTAACTGGTCGTTCTTTTTTACGCTAATTTCCGGCGAGTTTCTTTGTTGTGTCATACAATTGTCTCATCTTTCCTTCACTTGCAGCCTTTTCCTCCGTC